TTAATTTTACATATAAGATTGCGTTAAAATAAATGCTGCTGAAATTACACGATTTGACTTTTTGTTCCTTTAATTACTTTTGGACTCAGCTTTATCGGTGCTTCTTTTTTGTTTGGCGTTCGAACCGATTTGCGCTAGTGCCCATCATCAGTGCTGCCTAGTTACGAAAACTGGCGGCTGTTTTGAGAAATTTCAGTGTTTGTGGACAGTGTTGCCACATGAAATTTTTACGTACCAAAACACCTACCATATCGGATTCCAAACTGACAAATTTTTTTTCATCATTAAAACGAGATTTCTTGAATTTGGTTTTTTAGCTAAACAAATTAGCAGTAAAAACTAAAACTAAACATAATATTGTTTACAGTATTGGCTAACCATTCACAGCAATCTTTAAGGTTAAATAAAAGAAATTCGGGCATTTAAATAAACCAATAACTTATTGCAGAAATAACTTTTGTAAAATTGTAAATACCCTTGAGATCGATTCAATTGATATAAAGATTTTTTTTCTATGAATAAACAAAATCAGACATTTTATGCGTTTCAACAAAGAGACATATGGAAAGGACGCGGAGGCAAAAATGAAGCATTTCCATATATTTTTGGCCTTCAAGCTCAAACTCAATGCCCCCAAGCCCCGACAACGGAACTGTGCAAGTTTAGTTATAGTGAAGTGAGAAGGCACTATAAGAAATGCTCTCTGTCCGACCGAGTTTTCGTCTTATAGGATGTTGGCACCACGTAAGCAACTGCCTTTGTTTGAACACATAGGGCCCCGGAATAGCTGTTAAGAGGGGTTTTGTATGCAGTAGTGTGAGCTTTCTACTTATAAGAGAAGTAGCGGCTATAGAGTGCTGAAAGTTTTTTTGATTAACCGTCACTGGGCGGTGGTACGAATCGCTTTGGTCACTCATTTAGGACCAATTATGAAAGAAATTGTCCCGAAAAAGAGACTCAAGCAATTTCCGTACCTTGATCCGAGAGTATGCACAGATCCCTGTTCCATTTTCATAACCCACGTTGCATCTTCTCTACCTCCCCAGTTGCTACCCTTTCTGTGATAGATCAAAAGGACTTAAAGCTATTGCAAGCAAGATGGGATGTACATA